TCAAGGCTCTTGAAATATCATGGTTTCTTGCTACAGGGGCTGAAGCAGCATGAGCAAACCTGGGACATAAAACCTCCTCTGTATTTTAACTTCGCCCTGCTTTCTGATTTCTGAGTAAGAGTAATCAACCAGCACTGCTGGAGAACAACACAGAGTTCCTTCTGAGGAGGCACAAGAAATGGCAGGACAAAACCAGAAAGTCAAAATGGCTCCTCATTGTTTGGACTGTGAGTAATAGGTCAGCTCCTTTTAAGTCATAAACTTCCATTTCTCCTTGTAATACCCAGCACAGAGAGAGCAAGAGGCGCTCTACCACCACTCCATCTCAGGTGCGGGAAGAGCACACAACCCCATGAGTCGTAGGAGGAACTGGATTAATTGCTAGGTAAAGCGCAAAGAACATGCAGCAAAATGCCAGGGAAAGGAGCCAACTCTCCGGCTTCAGTTGATGTGGAAGATACCACAGGCAAAGATGACGTGCATTGGCTGCAATCTCAGCTTCCAGCAGCACAGGGCAGAATTCAGCATCCAAGTGCTCTCAAAAAATGCCAAAAGTCCTTAATTGATGTTAAAACCTTATCCTGGGCTCAATACCACATTTGTTAATTGCCTGCATGCTTCTTGGTTTGGGGCAGGATCCATCCCCACTCTCATTTCTGTACTAGTAGGTCTTTTTCTCCCCGTCCCAGACTTTGAGAGGCAGTCACTTGTGCTGACCTGCAGAAAACTTTCAGAATCAAAATTCTGAACGAAATGAAGCAAATGTTTCCTTGCTCTCATCTTCTTTCAACGGCTTTCAAAAAAAAAGTTTTTCTTTCTCTTGATTCAATACATGTCTTTAGTCTCATTGCAAGCTCTAGCTTGTGGTCCCTGTTCTGTATTTACGAGGCTACCCTGGCTCTGAATATTTCCATTGTGGCAGGGCGGTATTTGCCAACGCAGAGATTTTGGATTCTGTGGAGGGATTAAAATTCAATTACACTGTATGGAGCTTTCTTTCTTTACAACCATTTTGGTTAAAAACTGCATCTCATGATTTCTGTAATAGCAACTAGCCAACAGTTTTCAGTTCTACGAGAAGTTGGTTTCCTTCTTACTCTTTTTGGGCAGACATTACTGAATAGTCACCGAAATTAGCACTGGGTCTTCTGGGGCCCCATTCTCTCTCTACAATTTTTTGGTCTCATCCAAGCAGTATAAGTGCAATCCAACACTGATTTCTCAGGAATCCCTGAATGAATTCTTCATTCACTGACTAGCCCTGGATAAAATACCTGAAATCTTGTATACAAAGCTTGAGAAGTTAGATAGTACTTAGCACGAAGGGGAGGTTGCAGAAGCCCAGCTGGAAGTGGCAACAATTAAAAGAAAGGGCCTACCTAACCACGGTGGCTGGGGTTATGAATGGTCACGCCTTACATGCACCAGAAGATGACAAAGTACCAATTACAGGGAAAACAAAGGAACCAGCGTCAAACCCTCCCTACCACCCAGGTGCAGTAAACCCAACTGGCACAAACACCAAGACTCCACACAGTCGTTGCTCAGAAGTCTGCCATAACACATCCAGGGTTTGAATCACGAGCAGAGGAGCCCAGGGGACGGGACGTTACGGCTCCCCAGAGGTGGTTCTGTTCCGGGAGGCCACTGCAACACGTCGGCACGCACCAGCTCCAGCCCAAGCCCAGAGCTCCCAACCACGCCACCGCCCAAAGCGGCCGGTACGAAGCCAGTTCTACAGCAGCAGTTTACCGAACCAGCGAGGTGATCAGGTACCTGAGCAGCACCACCCATCTCCCCTCTCCAGCAGGGCTGTGAAGCCGCGGCAGTGTGGTTAGGCTGGAAAGGCGATCAAAGCCTTTCGAGAGGATTTGAGCACAGAGTTAAAAACGCGTCACCAAGCCCACCCATGACTGCAAGGCAGAGTACACCGAGTGGTTTTCTAGGACTGGAGCCCAGGACATCCCAGGAGATTACTCCAAAGACTGATAACCACCACAGCAATACTTTCCTACGACAGAGTTTAAATAACTTTTCTGCATATTTTTTCTTGAAAGTACACACAAAGGGCTGAACAAAGACGCTACACACAAATCTAAATATTTCTTTTACATTTCTTTCTAATCCTCCTGTGTTATAAATCCTTTTAAAAGGCTCCAGCTTCCATTACCATAACGGTCAATAAATAATTATGAACAATACCTAAATCTTCATCAGGTTATATGAAGTTATATGTTAATATTTAGCTAAATCCATCCCTTGATCAGTTGAGTTCCTTTCCTTTCTCTCTCTCCACTTTGCTATAGGATTTGCTACTGATGTTCCCACCCATGACTGCTATCCTCCAGGCACAGCCTCTCCAACAGAAGCAGCTTATCCTCCTGGCTGCTTTGTGCCCCTGCACGTGGCCAGAACCGCATTACGAGCACTGCTAAAACGTTTGTTACTGGCCTGAGATCTCTTGTAGTTCCGATTGCTTCAAAATCCCTTCCCCTTCCAGTGAGGATTTTCCTTTCCATTTGTGATCCGCATTGTGACAATTTTCATTGCCCTACAAAGTAAACCTCTGATTTTCCTAACCTTGTCTCCACCACTTTTCTAAGCTGTGGTCAGTGACACATCTCCATGTCTTCTCAACAGCTGCTGACAAACTGAAGGGCCATCGACACACGACAGCAGCATAAATACCAGAAGCTAATCCTCTCCTTTGCTTTCCAGAGCAGGGGAAACAGTTTTCTAATAAAATAGCATCTCTGTTTCACATTTTATCCTTCAAACATTTCACTGTCTTGCTGAACACTCAAGTACAGGAGGGTGTTTTCTGTGATCTTTCAAAAAGCAAGTAATAGTGACTCAGGTGCCCAGCACCAAGGGATTCATGCTGTGACAGACTTTACAGCTGTGACACATCAGTTGCATTTTTTCTTAATTCAACTTTTTGTTGCAATCATGCATTAAGGTAAATTGGAAGTGCTTTAAAAAAGCAGAATTTCCATTCTTAGCATTTTCCATGACCACTTCTGAAGTAATATTCAAATGTTCTGAAAATTTAAAAGGAAAGAGGCACAAGATCACAGATCTCAAGAAACAAATGCAAGCACATGGTCTCTACATATTTTTAATAAAATCAAAGCCTTTCCAGTTCCTTTCCTTCAAACCTTTTAGGCCGTCCCTTTAAAAATACCAGGAAACTAATATTTGTGCAATTAAATATTTATTTTTTCCTCTGAACAATAACAACTTAGGAAGTAACCCCTGACAGACTGCCAGGAGAATGATTATTCAGTATTTTGGGGAGTGCCCCATCATCCCAGCTCTTTACTATGTTTTCCTTTTCAGTTGCTAACAAACATGCATCAGTCTGGCTAAGCCGTCTCTTTCCTCACACAACTTTTCACAAAAAACCCTACAACCGATTTAAATGACACCCCCCAAGTT